TTGGGGGGAGAGAAATAGGAGAGCTTTTGAGGGGATTGAGTCTCCTTTTTCACATCTTAAGAATAGTCTTTTATCTTTGATCGCTTTTTGGTGCACTCATATAGCCCCTACTTGTGTAGAAGATTGGGCGTCTTTTGTAGAGAATCATGTTTTGATGTAAATTCTCTACTTTTTGGTATACTTCTTGTACACGCGAGTTTTTTCTCCCTTTTTATTAATACAATTTACCTTATCAAAAAAACATCAATTTTAATGTTGAATGGGAAATTTAATTAGTTTTTTTGGAAGCACAAGCAATGTGGCAACGACAAACTGAGAGTTGTCTTCGCAAGTATCTATAACATATGGAGCCAGAAGGAGATGACTACATCTATCATATCTACAGAGCAGACCATGCCTGAGTTCTTTGGAACTTGAGGTTCAAAAGGAATTTATAAGACGGAAGACAGTTATATTCTTAAACTTGATGGAATCATTCTATAAGCATGACATAAGACATGCATAGTAGGACACTTGGAACATGGAAGTGAACAGAAAGGCAAGCGGATCTTTTCTGGTAAAGTTCTATTAGGACGACAGTTCTTAAATCTATCAATTTGGATTCACAGAATATTGATAGAAGTATGTTTTTTCACGTGGATAACAACAAAGAAGGGCGTGATTCTAAATGGGAAGGAAGACAACATGTGTCAACTGGTGCTTCATGTGCAAACGATCAGGAGAAGATGTGGATCACTTGCAACTGGACTGTGAGGTAGTAAGTAGGCCGTGGTGAACAGAGTTGAACTGGTTAGAATACGGTGATGCATAGCTAGGTTTTCATAGCTACAATAAACAGTCAAGAACTTGATACATAGCTGTTTTCAGAAGAAGGAAGGAGGCGCAGAGCATGGGATGTCAACTCATTTGGCTCTTATGTGGGTACTCAGAGGGAAAGGAATTCTGAAGGGGTAGAAAATCAATCTGTACGGTTGAGAGCTGGTTTTCGTGTTTTGCCTAACTTTTGGTGCACCCACGAGATTTCTGTCAGTTTAGTAATTTGGTAGCTTTCTTAGAGAATTATACTTGTGTATGTTCTTTACTTTTTCGTATAAAGGGCGTTTTCCCACATTAATAAATTATTGCTTTATCTAAAAGAACTTACTCCATTCTAAAGTCTAGACTGGATCATTCCTCTCTACACAACCTATGAACACAAGTTAACCCCCCCACCCCACCCACCCTTCCTGTATAGCACTCCAAACAAATCCCCTTTGTGTAGTACGCAGCTTATTCTTTCGAACAGAAAAGGCTAGAAAAATAACCGTGGGACAACATTGTTCTGCAATGAGAACTTACAGCTTTCTCTATAGATTCAAGACGATGGTCAACTCTTGATTGATGAACGTGTCGTAAAGTATAACCTGCAAAAGTTTGAGATCCGCTTGAATATTGCATTCCAAAAGTATCTAGGGAAAGGAAAGTAGCCAATATAAATATACAATGAACAAGAGATTAAATGCATGCACTTCTAGCATGTTTTCACCAGATAATCCTAAAGAAAAATCCAATTTTTGCACCAAACAATTCACAATATAGAAAGGGTTCAAACCCAGATAGCATACCATATAAGCAGACGAGGGAGAAACTCTTGCAAAAAAACAAACTTGACACCTTTAATGAAATGGTGCTCTGTGAATATATATACGAGAAGCAACAAGCCATCAAAGAATTGCAAAGCCAGACACGGTGATGTTAGAGTGAAAAAGTTACTTTACACATTCTAGCAGATAGGTCATATGAGCATGTCTGATAACCAACCTTTAATATCTCATTCACTCAACTGTCAGCTGATCAATTAATGTGAAATAACATTATCCCACATCGGCAGGATATCAAAACTTATTATTAAGCCATATTCAATGGATCAGCACTTCTCGCATATTGGAGAAAACACTCAAGTATGCTCGCACTCAGCTCGATTTATTAAAAATCAAAATTTTAACAGTGTTTATACAGTCAATAGACATATATTCATTTGTCAGGAAATGGAGAAATTATATGAGTTAATTAAAAGATGAGCACGTTGGAAAGCAGAATGCATTTCAAGTTGCAAGCATGATGGTGACATTATGCTTGCAACTTTACATTGGACGGTTAGCATTTACTGTTTAAAATTAATAAGACATTGTAGTTGATACTATTAAGTAGCTGAAGTTCTCGTTATTCAATCCGTTCCGGTAGGTAGATTAGTAAAGTAGATAATTTTGGCCACAAAAACAGTTAGTTATGCTGCATTGCAAGTGGCACCACTTCCTATATAACGAGGCTCGAGCAGTGTATATTATGAATAGAATGAATTAGACTCTCCAAACATCCCTCTAGTTCAAAAGAATTTTGTCAGTAACACCATATAAGATAAAGAATAACTATTCTCTTACACATCAAAACCTTTTCGGGTGGCTATTCATAATACAAAAAATGAAAAACGACATAAAATTTCATAACTGAAATACCCAAATCTTCAACAAGAGAATTGGCAAGCAAGGTAATGAAAAATCGGTGAGGACAAAACCATACAATAAACTTACCGAACCATGCTGTAGCAACTGATGCTATAGACGTCGAGATTGTAAACACCACCTTATGCCTCTCGAATATATCCTATTCCCCAATAACATCATATACCCACACAAAAAAACGAAATTATATTTCCACGATTAAATGTGTTTGTGAAAAAAGAAACAACTTCAATAAAAGTCAAAAAAAAGTAAAAGATTGTACCTTTGTTGAATAATAAGTGTCCTGGATAGCAGACCAAGAATTAGAAGCTTTTCTTTTCAACTGAGGTACAGTAAAACGGTTAATAATTGAGGAGCCAGAGGTTCTAAACCGCTGCAGACCTCTGTACATATACATGGCTCCCACCAAATTTTGCAATTTTAGATTGCAAATTTTAGGAGAAATGGGTTTTGTTTCTTCGTACTAACTTTGGCGGGTGGGAATTTGGGATACAGTTAAGTTTGAGGTTATTAATGTTAATTGCCTAGAGTTGTCTTCACTCTACAGCAACTTGTGGAAAGGGCAAAGTCCACTTGAATAGGAGCCGTCAATTTAGGGTTCGGCTAAGAATAATGCATCTGGGCCGTATATTTCAACTTTTCAGATTTGGCTTCATCTTTTTCGCATATTTTTCTTCTTTTAAATTAGGATTGTGGGAAAAATAACAAAAATGGGATTGTTTATTAGTGAAAATTGTACTCATGCCACTAAGATTTATTGATTTCTCACTAAGAAGGATTTCATTTGCGTATAATTAACAATAAAATTTTGCATATAATTAACAAACTTTTGCCTATTTGCGATTAGCTTGGAGTCATTTGTAATATTAATAAACGATATGTTCAATTATTGATAAGTATAATATCTTGAAAAGGCTCAATATATACTTTATACCCCAACTTGTATCCAGCCCCTTTGATACATTCTCCTCCATGTAAAAAATATGACACACAAATATTTCTCCAATTGTTCTTTGCGCATTTCGTTAGTGCTTGATTAATTTTTCGAATAATATATCAGCATATCCAGTGTGACTTGTTTTATTAACTTAAAGAAATAAAAATATATAAAATTATAGTTATAATCCCGATTGCTAATTTTTTTTAATTTAAACGATAAAGGGCCAAATATACCCCTCTATTTTCGAAAATGGTCTAAGAATACCTCTCGTTATACTATTGGGTTATCTATACCCCTGCAGTCATACTTTGGGTTTAAATATACCCCTCATTTAAACGGGGGATACGTGTCACAGTCCTGTTGGTCAATTCTAAATATCTTCTAATTAATTAAAAAGACTCATTAATCATACCCAAAAAGTAATTTTTTAAAGCAATTTTTTTTGTAAAAACTGAAAAAAACTAAAACTATTTTTACTAAAAACTAAAAAAAAGGAAAATATTTTTTTTCAGTTTTTACAAAAAAACTGCTTTAGAAAAAACTGAAAAATATTTTCTAAAACAATATTTTTGAAAAAACTATAAAAAAAAAAAAAAAAGCTAAAAATCAATTTTCTAAAGCAATTTTTTTTGTAAAAACTGAAAAAAACTAAAACTATTTTTACTAAAAACTAGAAAAAAGGAAAATATTTTTTTTCAGTTTTTACAAAAAAACTGCTTTAGAAAAAACTGAAAAATATTTTCTAAAACAATATTTTTGAAAAAACTATAAAAAAAAAAAAAAAAGCTAAAAATCAATTTTCTAAAGCAATTTTTTTTGTAAAAACTGAAAAAAAAATTCTAAAAACTGAAAAAACGAAAATATTTTTTTTTCAGTTTGTACAAAAAGATTTCTTTAAAAAAAACTGAAAAATATTTTCTAAAATAATATTTTTATAAAAACTGAAAAAAAAATTAAAAAATAATTTTCTAAAGCAATTAAAAACTAAAAAAAACAGTTTTTTGTTTAAAATATTTTATTTTTTTCAGTTTTTAATTACTTTAGAAAATTACTTTTCAGTTTTTACAAATATATTATTTTAGAAAATATTTTTCAGTTTTTTAAAAGCAGATTTTTGTAAAAACTGAAAAAAAAAATTATTTTCATTTTTTTTCAGTTTTTAGTAAAAATATTTTTTAGTTTTTTCCATTTTTATAAAAAAAATATTTTTCGGGTATGGATAATGGATCTTTTTAATTAATTGGGAGATATTTAGAATTGACTGACAAGACAATGACACGTGTCCCTCCATTTAAATGAAGGGTATATTTAAATCCAAAGTATGAATGCAGGGGTATAGATAATCCAATAGTATAACGAGAATTATTATTAGACCATTTTCGAAAATAGAGGGGTATATTTGGCCATTTGCCATAATTTAAAACAGTTAAAGTTTGTTAAATATTTAATGGGTATCAAAACTATTCACTTTCGGTAAAAATAAAGAACCAAAATTATTCAAGCGGATATTTAGGGGACTATTTTTAACTTACTCCAAAACATAAGTGATCATTTTTGTCATTTTACTTTTTAGTTTCTCCAACATGTTGTTTCCCCACATATTCAGGTGCCGCTGAAATTGAATTGTATTGTTGAAGACGAAGAAGAATAGGAGGGAAAGATGAATGCTCCAGATCGTTACGAACGATTTGTCGTTCCTGAGGGCGTTAAGAAGTAACTACTCTGTTTTCTCACTTTATAGTGTTAGTTGCAAAATGGGTTAACAATTTTCTTTAATTTATTTAGGGTTTCGTACGAGAGAGACACAAAGATTATAAATGCAGCTACTTTCACCATTGAAAGAGAGGAACACACTATCGGCAACATTCTTCGCATGTAAGTAAACACACTTTTGATTGCTCTTTTTTTTCTCTATTTCTATTAAAGTTTCATTCTTTCTGTAAAGACCCTGATTTTTTGGTAATATTCACATGATTATTGAACGTAACAGGCAACTGCATAGGGATGAGAATGTATTATTTGCTGGGTACAAGTTGCCTCATCCTCTTCAGTACAAAATCTTGCTCAGGGTTAGTAATATATTCTCTTGTTTGTGCCCCTTTCTTCAGCTTTTTGTGTGTTTTTTTGCTCGTATAATTGCATTGCGTTTAAGTGCTCGTTTGGTTGGTTCGTATGGGAATTAATCACGCTATAAAACTCTGCATTGTTTAGTACATTGATTAATTACTAGTTTGTTTTCCCTCATAAATAAATAATACTTGTAGAAGCTATGCGGGAATGTATGTATTATTTAGGATGTGGAATAACAATGCGGGTATTAGCAATATATCTTAAACATTCAACAAAATCTCAACATAACTAATCCCTACATAACTTCTCTTTGAACCAAATAACCCCTTAAAGTAAGACAACTGTGTATAGTTTTTTATGTGATAATTGTGAGTACGACAACAAAAAAAAAAGATGGCTTGGAGCAACTAGGAAATGGCATAGCTTGTTGTATTGCTCACAAAGGATAGCAAGATGCACAAGTCAAGCTAGTTATTTTCTAAGGCGTACCTAACGGGAAGAAGGGCAGTGAGTATTCACAAACAAGAATGAATACGAGAAAGATAGGATTGTATTCACTAGATAAAAACACACTCCTATTACTTATAAGAGTAGTTGAAGAAGCTGAATTGATTGGGGTGGGAAAATAAAGCTATGGAAGCTGGAAAGATGTGTCATGCATTTAGTATAGTAAATTGGAAGGGCAATTTCAGTGCCCCGAAAGGAAAGTAATACGGTTACATTTTCAGTGCTTGCTAAGTGCAAATACCTAGTGTATGGTTTTCCAGCTAGTTGATCGCTTTGGTGGATATTCCTCTGCAGAAATGCCCAATTTAGATTTCAAACTGAGAAGTGAGTAGCAAAAAAAAAAAATACAATTATTGACAGTTAAAAAGATTCTTTGACTCCTTTTCCTCATTCCTGTAGAAGCTTTCACGCCTCAAGACTTTCCTTGTGCTATCTTGCACCTTGAATATGACTTTAACAACTAATAAAAGAGGAGTTAAATTCAAATGGAATATTTTGAGCGGGTCTTAGATGACTGCGAATAGACTACAAAAATCATGTATTACATGTGACAAGACAAGATTTAAGGTTGTAGGTCGGTCATAAGTCAAACGAAAATAATGATTTGTTGGTTTTTGAATTACTCACATAAACAACGATGAGTAAAAGAGTTGTAAAGCTACAATCTGGTGAAATATACAAAAGAAACAGAAAAAGAAAATCACTAGAATGTCCCTATATATATAAAAAAAAAAATCAATATAATGTCTCCTATTGCGTAGGAAGTCTACTAGAGCCAACCAGCAAAGCCATTCCTGATAGACCATACAAAATCCGGGCAAATCACTTCCCCCCACACCAAATCATATATAACATGCAACTGCTTCTTTTGCTAGAGGGCGACTAGAGCAGTTACCTTAGAGAATTAACCACCTCCATTTATTACAGTGTGCTGTCCGCTATTTGTTTAATTTTAAGCATATTAATGGAATAGTAGGAAATAGTTGTCAGTTGATTAGATAATAGGTTGTTAGTCTTGCAGTCCTGGTGGTTGAGTTTTTCATTTGTTAGTTTATATAGTTTCTGTTAGTAGCTTATTTGATTTGTTAGGTCTTCACTATATACTCATCTTTCAGAGTTTCTGAGTTATAAGATTTCAAGGTTGTATTTTCTTTCGTAGTGTAGGAAGAATAGAATCTTTCTTTTTTGAGAATGAAAAAAAATTGTGAATATTTTCCCTGTTCAGGGGTGTATGTCCTGAAATGGTTGCTGCCAAAGCAATCATGTCTTCTGCATTATTGTTTCCGCTGTATTTCTTGTGGACTTGTATAGAATCTCTTTAGGTTCTAATTTGTCTGTTGGATACTATGATGTTTTACTGCAATCTTGTTTGTTTAATGCACTTTGATCTCTGTGGATTTGACCTATTGCTTTGTTTGATTTGTAGATTCAAACAACAAGCCAGTCCTCACCTATGCAGGCATATAACCAGGCTATAAACGATCTTGATAAGGAACTTGATCATCTAAAGAATCAGTTCGAGGTACAGTTATCTTTTAATTTCTCTAGCTTGTTTCAAGTAGATATTGTCTATGTACTATAATATGTTACCAGCATCAATGCAGGCATCATTTCTGGCTTCGGATTTCAAGATGTTCAATAATGTTTGATTGTCATATGAAGAAAAAAATCAAAAGAGTTAAAATGTGTACTTAGGAAGTTTTAAATATTTGGAAAATCTAAGATAATCCAGTTTTATTTTTGCAAGGTTACCTTTTACTTGAAAAAGTGTATGGTTCTTTAGTACTTATTTCCTTTTCATTTTTTGGTTGGATTAGTTATGGTTCTCATTCTTCAGTACTTAAGATGAAGCATTAATTAAAAATCTTTTATGTAGTGTTTTCTTTATTTTTTATATGAAATACTATGGTTCTACACGGGATGGACGCAAAGTGTTGAAAGCATCTAGAGTTTAAGCTTCTTTACCTTCTTCTTGAGATACAATAAATGGTAGGGAAGATAACCTGTTAGATATGCTCTTATACTGAAGCTCTTACAGTTTCTTGCCTCGAACTTGACACTGATTTAAAACTGAATTTAAAAACTGAAATGAGAGATTGTAAAGTGATGGCTATTCTTCTAGAGTTCCTTAATACTTCTCAAAATGGACAGCTAGGTCCTATGACAATTCTCCTGGTTGAAAATTCTTGAGGGGACAGCTTGCACTCAAAGAATCTCCCTACTTTTTCCTTTCCTTTTCAAGCACCGTCATGCTCAGTTTAGTCTCGCCATGATTGTCTTCTCTTTTGCCACCTAATGATCCAAAAAGTTATAAACCCTTGAGCAAAAAAAACATACCAGTTACCTTTTTCTCCTTTCCGCATTGCTATTAAAGGGGGACTCCACTTATTTGCTAACAGTGAGCCTGTCCATAAGCTGCTCAATTACCCCTGGGAAAAGCCCCATAGGTCTTGAAACTTTGAGAACTGAAAAGCGGTGACCATGGACTGGATTGTCGTTCTCCAACCACTTGCTTTACTTGTTGGTCATTGATGTCATAGGAAAGACAAACAATATTTATAGACTCCATTGCAGAACATACGAAAAGGTCAAAATGATGAAAGAGGAGAGGTAAAAAATCCTCTTTGTTGGCCACCTTTTTTTCTTCTACAACATTTAACTATGAGAATCTTCAAAATCTAGCCATATAAACAGGAAGATTGAACAAAACGATAATTTATCTCTAGATCTACCATGACAATAGTTAGACAGAAGAGAGCTTATTGAATCTAGTTGCAGGAGAGAGCTGAAATAGAGAGTGAATGGGAGCTGTCGCCAGGGGAAGATGCACTGGCTAGTCTGATACTAACCTAAGCCTTCTAACTCGGGGGAGTTTCTAGAGAGAGAAAGTAGAGAGAGGTGATTTAAGATGTGTCCTTGGCTATTAAGCTATAATTCAACCATGTGAGAGGTTCTTGACATGCGATTTGAGAGGATCAATGAAGAATTTGTTTTGTGAAGTTTGGATATTAGAAGAAAGAAAACAAAAGTGAAATTAGTTCTTTACCTTTTATCTTTGATTCTCTAATCACAAACTGTTTGTTGATTAAAAAAACATGAGCAGGGTGAAAGCTAAATAGTGAACATGAGTGAACCCTAACCCTGCTATCACTAATTAGAATAGGAATCTCATCCACAAACAATCCTAGGGAAGCTTAAAAACAAGCCAAAAATTATCTTTAGATATGGTCTAGTCTCCTCAGTTCAGTTATGGAGAGGGGTTGCTTATTCACTTCTCTAGCTGATTCACTTCTCTACCTTCCCCGGACCCCGCGCATAGTGCACCGGGTTGCCCGTTTAGCTGATGCTATTGTTGCAGAATCAGACACCATCGTCAGGGGACGCTATCTTCATTTTCCTTTTTCTTTTTTTCTTTGTGTTTTTTCCATATCACCCTTTTGCTTTTGTAATAGCCTGGTCTATCTGGTCATTGTATGGGAAAATATTGTTTCATATATTTGACCTACTTAATATTTGGAGAGTCTGAATTCTTCGGGAAGAAGAAGCTTTATAAATGGGCTGAAAAGAGCGTCCAGCTCATAAGTTTTGAAGTCACTCTATTGGCTTGTATCAGGTTTTGTCCATGCATCAGATTTTGCATTTTCATTTTTGCATGGTGACATGTGAAATTTTTACTTGAAACATTTCTGTGCTCGTTCATATTATGATGCTTAGTTTGTTCTCTTGATTGTAGGGCGAATTGGCCAAGCACTCGAATAACTTTTAAGCCATTCGACAGTGATGTTTGGTTCTAAACAATGGTGCCTCGTACAGTTTCCTAGTTCAAGTCTTCATCTGTATGTATGTTCAACCAGCAACTACAGTTTGGCTTGGGCAGTAGCTCAGGCTTCGATTTAAACTATTTGCTTTCAATATTGGCAAGTTGACTTGTACTTTGAAGGTCTACTGTATGCCTCAAGTTTATTTCTGGTGGTCTTGAGAAGTACCCTCTTTGTCTTGGATCTTTTCTTCAACATTATCTTTTGCATCAGACTCAATGTTTATGTCGTAATAGAGATGGAAATATGTAGAAATTATATCGATATACAAAGTACAGGTAAAGTCAAGTTGCTTCTCTTCGTCTTCATTTTTTTTCCTCTCTAATCTTTTGTTTAGAGTAAACCAATAAGGTTCTCTTATAGGTGATCAGCAAAGCTGATATCAGGACCTTTGGCACGCATTTAGTATCTTTTTGGTTTAGTTTGATTTTTAATTATCTTACAACTATTACCTTTTAATCAAGTTTCAACGTTTTACAATCCAAAAAATAAAAGTGCTCCTACATAAGAGGACAGAAAATAATGTTAGAGAAAAGCAAAAAAAAAGAAAGAAAAAAGAGGTATTTTTGAATACCTCATTTTCTTCTCTTTCTCCTTCTCCTACCAGCCTTGAACTCTCGACCTAGTGGAATTGAGAGGACTATCTCAACCACTATGTACAAGAATGACCGGTGTCTTCCTACCAACAAGCAAAACTATTTATCTGCCTTGTAACATAAAATGGGCTAAAGCTAACAAGTTTGAGAATGGTTCATGTTCATGAAAAAAAAGTCCAATATTGAGTGAGCAGTGTCTTTGCGTCATTGGGCAAATTATTAAGGCCCAAACAGCTAGGCCCACAAATTTGTGAACACCTCATGTTTTGGGTGATTTGCACAAATAGGACACTCCGAGCCAATATTGATTTTTGGATTCCGCTTGTCCTATAGGCGAAACTTCAAGTTTAACAAGTGTTGCTCTTCGCTTGACCCATGGGAAATACTTTTGACCACATTAAAGATTTGACGGGGTCAAAAAATCAAGATCTTTCATTTTCATCGTTGGGTGTAATTTCTTGTCAAGTTTATCTAAACAATATTTCAAATGAAGTAGATGTCATCGTTATATCTTATCTTTTTGGTTCGTAGTTAGCATGTAATTTGTTTGAATATATAGGTACTTGGTAGTCTATAAATTAAAGAGTTATGAAATCATCTTATTTGATGAAAAGAAAAAAAAGGAAATCATCTTAGTTGGTAGTTTTTCAAAAATTAACCCTTCTTGCTAATGTAGCCATCTTATAGTCCATAGTCCACACTCAACTCAAACTTGGAGAAATTTGAAATTTATTGCACAGCCTTTTCTTATAACCAAGATCTTTATTTGACTAGTAAATTCCAAAACTTTAGTGTTAATTCTTTCTATTCATGTACTCTATAGTAGGGGTGTACAAACCGAACCGGAAAATTGCACCAAACCGAAAAGTCAAACCAAACAAATTAAAAAACCCGACTAAGTTTGGTTTGATTTGGGTTGGTATTGAGTAAAAAAACCCAAACCAAACCGACATATAAATAAATAATTTTTATATATATTTTTAAGATTTTATATAGAATTTTCTTTAAAAATATCTAGAAATATTTGGGATTCTCTTACGTGATATGATATTTAATAGAATATGAAGTGCTCCATATTTATTAGGGCGATGTGCACAGATAGCCAGTAATAACACATGTATTTATTTTTAAGCCATTGTTTTAAATATATTTAGTCTTTAGCCACTGCTTTAATAAACTTTTACTCGCCTGGACGAAAATACCCTTCTGCTATATAGGATTTCGCTAATACATACGCTCCTTATTCACGATCAGCAGCAGCTCAAACTTACGTGCAAACTTACGTGCAGAGAATTGTTGTGATCGTCCAAAATTGCAGCAGCTTCTCTTCCGATTTCAAAATTTTTGTCTAAGTTCAGAATTCAACTTTCTCGTCCAAAATTCACCATAAAATTACAGTAAGTTCTAAAGTTTCAGATATCTCTATATGCTTTTGTGAGTTTGTGTAGATTTTTATTTCGTTACTAAAGAATAAGATGCTAGGAATTTGATTTTTTTTTCTTTTTTGTATTGATAACGTTAAGGACATCGCGTCCTTAACTCTGTGATTGTTCTGTAAATATTGAGGACATAATGTTAAGGATTTGGTGTCCTTAACATGACTGTTATTCTAAAAAATATTAAGGATAAAGTGTCCTGTATTTTGCAACTTGTATTAATAAAGTTAAGGACACGATGTCCTTAACTTCATGACTGTTGTTCTAAATATTAAGGACATAGTGTCATGTATTTACAAATTGTATTAATAAAGTTTAGGACACCATGTCCTTAACATTTTCACTGCACACAGCAAAGTTAAGGACACAATGTCCTTAACTTTTTCACTGCACACATCAAAGTAACTTTTACAATGCACACATCAAAATTAAGGATAGCTTGTCCTTAACTTTTACAATGCACACATCGAAGTTAAGGACATCATGTCCTTAACTTTTACAATGCACACATCCAAGTTAAGGACACCATGTTCTTAATATTTTGACTGCACACATCAAAGTTAAGGACATAGTATCCTATTTTTGCAACTTGTACTGATAAAGTTAGGACATGATGTCCTTAACTTCATGACTACTATGTAAAAATTAAGGACATAGTGTCCTGTTTTTGCAACCTATACTAATAAATTTTAGGACACCATGTCCTTAACATTTTCACTGCACACAGCAAAGTTAAGGACACAATGTCCTTAACTTTTTCATTGCACACATCAAAGTTAAGGATAGCTTGTCCTTAACTTTTACAATGCACACATCAAAGTTAAGGACAGCTTGTCCTTAACTTTTACAATGCACACATCGAAGTTAAGGACACCATGTCCTTAACATTTTGACTGCACACATCAAAGTTAAGGACATAGTGTCCTGTTTTTGCAACTTGTACTGATAAAGTTTAGGACATAATGTCCTTAACTTCATGACTACTGTGTTAAAATTAAGGACATAGTATCCTGTTTTTGCAACCTATACTAATAAAATTTAGGACACCATGTCCTTAACATTTTCACTGCACACATCAAAGTTAAGGACAGCTTGTCCTTAACTTCTACAATGCACACATCCAAGTTAAGGACACTATGTCCTTAATATTTTGACTGCACATATCAAAGTTAAGGATATAGTGTCCTGTTTTTGCAACTTGTACGAATAAAGTTTAGGACATGATGTCCTTAACTTCATGACTACTGTGTAAAAGTTAAGGACATAGTGTCCTGTTTTTGCAACCTATACTAATAAAGTTTAGGACATGATGTCCTTGACTTCATGACTACTGTGTAAATATTAAGGACATAGTGTCCTGTATTTGCAACTTGTATTGATAAAGTTTAGGATATGATATCCTTAACTTCATGACTATTGTTCTAAATATTAAGGACATAGTGTCCTGTGTTTTGCAACTTGTATTGATAAAGTTTAGGACATCTTGTCCTTAACTTCACGATTGTTGTATAAATATGTCCTGAATTTTCCATTTTCTTGACTTGCAGGATGGATACAATATGTATTATAGTTGCTTTTAATGGTAAATGGACTGCAGACTATAAGTATCTTGATCATCAAACAAAGCTTGTTCTAGTACCTGAGGCAATTCGATTTGAAGATTTCATTAACCAGGTATTTGAAGTTATTGAATTGGATAGAGACAAGTTTGAAGCAATGATATGGTTTGATATCAATCTGGGAACAAGCAAGGGAATGCTTGTATCCAAAGATTTAGATCTTCACACATGCATAAAATTACTAAAAAGTCATTCACTCTTCAAGGGCTGTCGTTTCATTGTTGATATTTCGGAAAGAGTTTTTGATTCTACAAGCACCTTTGAACATGTCAATACAGAAACTCAACAAGACAATCAAGACAAATGCCAACAGATAATGGAAATAGATGTGGTTGAAGCTCAACCAATAACTGAAGAGGTGCTTCAAACATTTGATTCTATTCAAGTAGAAGGACAAAGCATTATAGAGATTGACAACGAACAAGCTTTGGGTATTCAAGTCTTAGAGAGTGCACCGGTAATAGAAGAAGTTGCTGAAAAAACCTTTACTCAACTAACTAGACAAAGCTCAAATTCGAAACAAAAAGAATCCCCAACTACGATATTAAGAGAAAATGCTTCGTTGGATGAAATAAAAGTGGGATCAATATTTGACAAAAAGAAGAGTATAATTAACTGTTTTTCCAATATAGCAATTAAAGGACATTTTGAATTCAAGGTTGTTAGATCAAGCTCAACAAGATATTCGTTGAAATGCAATGATGATAGGTGTGGGTGGTGTGTGCGTGCTTTCAGAATTAAAGATTCAACACTATTCAAGATGGTAAAGATTGAGAAAAATCATGACTGCTCAGTTAACACTATGAAAACTGATCAAAGGCATGCAACTTCAAAGTTGATTAGTGGTTACATTATCGACAATCTTCGAGACCCAAGGTTTGAAGTTACACCAGCCTTTGTCATGGCAGAAATGCAAAAATTGCATGGACTAGACATTGGTTATCACAAGGCGTGGCGTGCTATTCAACGTGCTTCAGCTTTAATAAGAGGAACTCCTGAAGAGAATTATGAATTATNCATAAAATTACTAAAAAGTCATTCACTCTTCAAGGGCTGTCGTTTCATTGTTGATATTTCGGAAAGAGTTTTTGATTCTACAAGCACCTTTGAACATATCAATACAGAAACTCAACAAGACAATCAAGATAAATACCAACAGATAATGGAAATAGATGTGGTTGAAACTCAACCAATAACTGAAGAGGTGCTTCAAACATTTGATTCTATTCAAGTAGAAGGACAAAGCATTATAGAGATTGANAAGAGTTTATTAGTCTGTTTTATAAACTTTAGGACATGGTGTCCTTAACTTGAATATGTGCAATGAAAAGGTTAAGGATATGGTGTCCTTAACTTGAATATGTGCAATGAAAAGGTTAAGGATATGGTGTCCTTAACTTTGATGTGTGCAGTAAAAATATTAAAGACATGGTGTCCTTAACTTTGATGTGTGCAGTGAAAATGTTAAGGACATGGTGTCTTTAACTTAGATATATGTAGTGAAAAACTTAAGGACACGGTGTCCTTAACTTTGATGTGTGCATTGTAAAAGTTAAGGACATGTAGTCCTGAACTTAGAGCTACAAGTTAAAAAGTTATGGACAGGTAGTCCTGAACTTAGAGTTACAAGTTAAAAAGTTAAGGAC